TAATTTCTAATGGATGTAATTGTTTACAACAATACTTGTTTAATTGTTGAAATGAAGATAAAGATAAAACATTAATAATTGATAATTTACATTTTCTTAGATAGATTAATCGGATAGATTAACTGGAACATACTCGTATATGTCATTCTATATTTTTGTTTTCATTTTTAAAGTAATCAGGCATAGCAACACGCTTCGAATAGCAAGTTCCTTATTTTTTTATATGGCAGCCAACTTTGACCTCTTTGACATGTCCAAGGTTGAATTTGACACTTATCCACTTAGCCAAAAGTTTGCAAATTGATTCAATTTAATTCTTTGCTTAAAAAGTAACATAATGGCTTTAAACAAACTCAGTATTGATGCCTTAAATTTGGCCGGAAAACGTGTCTTAATGCGGTAAGTACGATATAGTTAAGAAATCTACATTTCCCACAGTTTTGCCTGCCGGGTCACTAAAGGACACCGGTATTATTGTACTACCTTCAATTTTCTTTTAGAGTTGACTTCAATGTGCCACTGAAAGATGGAGTAATCACTAACAACCAGCGAATTGTAGCTGCTCTTGATTCCGTTAAATTTGCACTGGACAAGGGTGCAAAGTCGGTGGTTCTTATGTCACATTTGGGTCGCCCTGATGGACAAGCCAACTTGAAATACACATTAAAACCTGTCGCAGACGAATTGAAAAAACTATTAAACAAGTAAGTGTATAAGAATAACTGTACTGATTAGACAAAGTCATCTAGACTAAAGTGTTATTTATCAAACATTTAAATTTCTTAGGGATGTGACCTTCCTATCAGACTGTGTTGGTTCTGAAGTTGAAGCGGCCTGCGCTGATCCTCCCTCAGGTTCCATCATTTTATTGGAAAACCTCAGATTCCATATTGAGGAGGAAGGCAAAGGTGTTGATGCCAGTGGAGCCAAAGTGAAGGCTGATGCCGAAAAAGTCAAAGCTTTTAGAGCCAGCCTTAGAAAATTGGGAGATGTTTATATTAATGATGCTTTTGGTAAGCAAAATAGAGGAAAATATTATCTTTAAATAATAGCTGTTTACTGTCTACTGTATGAATATTAATTTTTCTTTTACACTTTACTCTAGGCACAGCCCACAGAGCTCACAGCTCCATGATGGGTGAAGGTTTTGACCAGAGAGCCAGTGGTTTCTTACTGAAAAAGGAACTTCAATACTTTGCAAAGGCACTTCATGAACCTGAGAGGTGAATTTCTTATATCTCTTTACAATGTTAACTTCACTTCTTAAGGAATAGTATGGAAGTATAAAAAATGTTTGCCTAATGTATTGGGAAATTTTTGTTTCAGACCATTTTTGGCCATTCTCGGCGGAGCTAAAGTTGCAGACAAAATCTTACTCATAGAAAACTTGCTTGATAAAGTTAATGAAATGATTATTGGTGGGGGTATGGCTTATACATTCCTTAAGGAAACCAAGGGTATGGCTGTAAGTATTTTTTTTATATGTCACTATAAATATTTCATCAAAAAAGATTAATTAACAAATTGTTATTTTTTTAGATTGGCAATTCCTTGTATGATGGAGATGGAGCAAAGATAGTAGGCAAGTTGTTGGAGAAAGCAGCCAAGAATAATGTTAAAGTACATCTCCCAGTAGACTTTGTCACTGCTGATAAGTTTGATGAAAATGCTCAGGTAAAATTATTCAATGCTAAGGGCCTTCATTAATTACTACAAAATAAATTAAGTGTGGCTGTAAAATAGCTATTGTGACCATAATAAAAAATGTTATTAATTAAAAAAGATATATGTTATTATTTAGGTTGGTACTGCTGATGTTGATTCTGGCATCCCTGATGGCTGGATGGGACTTGATGTTGGACCAAAGACAAGGGAGCTGTTTGCAGAGCCAATCGCAAGGGCTAAAGTTATTGTTTGGAATGGGTAAGAAGGCTGGCTTTCCATAGCATACTAAACTATACCAAGCTTTTTTTTTAAATCAGAATAATTAAGTTGTTGTTATTTTTTTTTTCATATCTTTGTGAAAAAAACTTGGTAAATTTGAATACTTTTGAATATTCCTGTGACATTCTTTAGGCCAGCTGGTGTGTTTGAATTCGAGAAGTTTGCGGGTGGCACCCGAGCTCTCATGGACTGTGTTGTGAAGGCAACCAACAGTGGTGCTGTTACTATTATCGGTAAGATAAATTTAATCTTAATTATTTGAATTTTTATGAAATATAATGCACATGTAAAGTTAAAACTCAATTTTAAAATTAACTTCAAAGTTCTAGTTCTAATCTTCCATTATTTTTTTTCTACTTTGTGCATTGTGATATGTTTACTTGACAATTAAATTAAATCCTTATTAAAATTAATTGTAATTGTGATGCTAACATAAACCAAAAAAAAATCCGTTTTTAACCAGGTGGCGGTGACACGGCCACATGTTGCGCGAAGTGGGGTACTGAAGACAAGGTCTCCCACGTTTCCACTGGCGGCGGCGCCTCCCTTGAACTGCTCGAAGGTTCGTTAACTTTATATTACATGTATTTCATCATCAGCTCACTATACGTCCCCACCGAGGGGCACGGAGCCTACCCTAAGTTGAGGGTGATTAGGCCATAGTCAACCACGCTGGCCAAGTGCATGTCTTTAAAGTGTGTTAATCTTATGTACATCCTAAAAGAACACTAACTGCCGTACTCAAACTCGTCAATAAGAGATCCCTTAAAAACTCTTAAATGCTGAAGTAAGTGATGCTATTCATAAAATTGCCTTTCGTGTACTATTGATAGTTCGTTTGATGTTTTTTATTTGCACAATGTATGTATTTAAAAGCAGAATCCATAATTTTGTGTTACATATTACCATGAATTCGTTTTACTTATCTATACTTAAAATAACTATATAAGGAATTAAACTGGACTACAACTTTATAAAATTATTTCGCCAGGAAGCTATTACTACATTTTTTATTTCACACGGACGAAGTTGCAAGTAAAAATGAGTATCAAATAATAATTATTATTTATAGCTGAATAAAATATTAAAATGTTAAACGAAACGATCAGCGAACCGATGGATCGCGTGCTTGGCAAAATAGAACAATCATCTAACTAACGTTATTTAGTAGCCTGGCAGCTGTCGTCCTGTGCTATCGAAAACTGATTAAACTAAATCTATGATTTATTTTCTTACACGGAAATAAATAAATAACTCTTATAAACATCGCTTTATCCGTATGCGTAACACGCATGCAAGCTTATCGGATATCAGACCGTTGAAAAGAGTTATTGTTTTTTCTACAAATTATTTTAATCGATCAAGACTTTGTTCTTCTCGTATATAACTTCTGATTTAATTCAGAGTTACAAAACATTTTTCCGTGACATCAACATAATTTTTTCGAAAAATTCACTCTCTTGATAGTTGAGGTAAATTAAAATTGCTTTTACCAAAAAATATCACTCTTCGTTAAAATAATCATAGTAGCTGTTTTACTCTGTTCAGTTCCCAGCAACCGGTAATAAACTTAACTCTTACACTTCGGAGATTCTCACAATTGTTAGGAAGAAAATCCGACAATGTGCCGATATGCAACACTAGCCTTATTAAAATGTCAATGTTTATGTCCCCTCACTAATGAATCTGACACTTGACTTTGTAACGAAAGCGCGCCAATCGCTCCAAATGATTCTTACTAATAATGTCTAAAACTACTAATTTATTCGATTTTAAATGGTCTATCTGTTTTCCAGGTAAAGTTCTGCCTGGTGTAGCAGCACTCACCGATGCGTAAACTTTTACGAATATTAATGTGATCAGCTATTATAATTAGTTGCTTTAAAATAAATAGAAAATATTTAACGAAATTATTATAATTATGATTCTATTTAGATTTATTTCATTATACGTGTGTTGAGTAGATCTATTATTTGTAAGAATAAATATTAAAAAAATAATTGTATCGTTTTATTTTTTATCACTTGATTTGGAAGAAAACAAAACTGCAATACCCCAATAATAATTCTAATAGTCAATAATTAACGATACACCCTGTATATTTCTAGAAATACAGATGTGCTTTTTGTGGTATAATTTGGCAAAAGCACTGAACGACAAAAACGGCACCGAAATTCGCCAAAATATCGAAGCGACGGCTGCCTAAAGATATTGCGTTCTGCAAAGAAAGATTTATCTTTCACGCTAAGTCCACCTCCTCTTTCTATCCTTCCATTACAAGAAAAGGGTGGGAAGGGGAAGAGTGCCAAAATAGGCCTCCATATAGGTATAGGTACGGACACTCATCAGACGAAACGTGGAATAGCTTCCATTTCACACCTGTCTTCTGTGTCGATTGAAAAAATATCTATTGTCGAATTGAAACCCTTTTTTAAGTTTGTCGAAAAAAGAGTAGTGTTACTTGTACATGTAAGTCCTTTTCAAGAAAGTATAACGTAATGTTGAGGTCCCAGGATGTTAAACTAACGGATTTCGTCTGATAATTCACGTAATTAAATTTGTTAAATCTGAGTATCATTGTTAAAAAAGGGAATATAGGTAAATGGGTACGAGAGCAATAGCCAATTCCAGTTGATTCAGTTGAGTAATTTCCAACTGCACCTATTCCACATTACATATCTACGTTAGAAAATGTATAAAAAGAAATACCCTGTATCGATTTACGCCTCGCGCAAGCGTCCTTTGACCATCCCGTCTACACCAATTACGAAAATTTTACAAGAAAAATATAAATTTATATTTTGTTACACCTAAATTATTGTAATGTTTTCATTCGTCAGAAATCTACTTTAAAAATATATTAGAAGAATCAATTGATTTCTTTTGAAATAGAAATCGAAGATGTGTCAATGTTTCCTTCAATTGTGAATTGCCTTGCCACCTTGCGTGAACTTTGGTCCAATTGGCTAAGGTCCGCGCATGCTCAGATGGATTCCTAGGTGTTTTATCACAATAATAATTTCACAGGGCCAAAGTGTCAGTGGCTGTGACGATAGCGATCGCCGCCGGTGTACCGGCTGGCGAATTAAAATGTATTCACCTTTAGAATCGCCATAATCGCCCCAAATCATTTTAAATACAGATTTAAATATAAGATTATCTAAGAAGTTACTAGTTTCATGTCAATTGTTGTTTAGTGAGTATGTTTATTGTGGTTCCAGTTGTTTTAAGGATATTCTCTTAGCAGGTGAGTTGTAATAATGTAATGATTGTTTTGCTTTGTTAGTGGTACACGTCGTGTTTACACTGTAGACTTGGTTCTCGTTTTTATAACCACTGATATATGTCAAAGATTTTTGATGTACACAAGATTTTGGTAGGTGCAATTAATTTCAGTTATTTTTCTAAAATTATTTTTTGTCTTAGATTTTTTTACGTTTTATAAGCTAGCGCTTGACCACGATCCCACCTGGTGTTAGTGGATTTATTAAAACATTTAACAGTAAAGTCATCGGTATCTATTAATCAGCCTCCGCCGTGGCAAAGGATAAGGAGCACTGGCCATAGTTGGAGGAGGTTTTCATCCTAAATATATAGGATATATAGGATACATAGGAAGGTAAATCAATGAATAAATTTATTGACATCAAATGTAGTAACAGTACAGAGTACAGTACGTACTTAGTGTTACTCGAAAATAATATTTTACATTCAACAGAGCTCCATTTAAGCTTTATTGCTTTTGTTTTATAGAAAAAACGTCGATTAATGTTTTTGTTATAATTTCCTCATATAACTCCTCCATAGCGCATGTTAAGCATCGCTTTCCCCTTTCTTTTATTCCCCTTTTTGTCAACACTCGAAAGATGAAAACAACGCCTCGCATGCCCTTATATTACCTATCATATTCTCTTTGCTACTCTGAATTTTGTACCGAAAAAAACCATGCTAACGAAAAAATTATAATACGTTTTTTGTTTATTTTCTCTTCTTTACTTGTGATGTCTGTCATTTCTTCTAACCTGAAAATTCAACTAAACATATTTTTATTCTGTTTTCAATATCATCCTTAACCTGTTCTAATAATTATAAGTATTTCCACGTTAACTGTACGTAATCTAACTCTAAACGAGGCTCGAGAAAGAGGACAAAAATGCGTTTTGTTAGTATAAACCCACAGTTGTAATTTCATCACGACTTTCATTATGACAACATATATGTAGTTCTCTTTCTGTGGTTATGCTTTTGGGGTTCCGTAACTCGAAAGGATAAATACGGAACCCCTATAGGATGACTTTGTTGTCCGTTCGTATGTCTGTCAAGACCTTTTTTTTAATTATCATGTAATATTAAAAGTCAGTCGGGAGCGGACTGTTGGTTAACAGTATACCTAGCGTTCAAACTTTCAAATGTCCAATACAAAAAACGTGAAAATTAAAAGGGCTCAATATTCTAACTATGTAAATATAAAAACATGCAATAAAAATTATGTTCGGATACCGATAATTTATTATTGATACTTTAACATTCAATTAGTAACAGGCAGGCTGCATTTCACGTTTTTTTTATAAAAAAAAATGGTTGATCCGCATAGGAACAACTTAGATTAGATAAACCAGTGACCCGAGCGTTATTACTCGACCCGTACTGAATTGTTACGAATAGAAATATGTATGCTGGAGTTTAATGAAATGGAATGAACCAGACTGGGTTCCTACGTACGCAAATAGAAATGTAGAAGCCCGCAGGCATTTTATTCGAGTATTGATTGATTTGGACTGAAAGCAGCGACTATTAAGGAGCTCTATAATCGTTATTCGTAATTGCTATTGTAGTATATCTATGTATTAAATTGGTTGTTTCCTGTGATTCTAGTCGTATCTTAATGTTAAAACATATAGGCATTTAATAAGGTTTAAAAGATTATCTTAACTAAAAAGATTTTGACGTATATTTATATCCGATTAACTCAAAAACAACTAAACAGGAACTAAAACAATTGATACTTTAAAGCAGCAATTGCAGTCTGGTTACCATGGTGATTCATTATGCAGCTACAAAAACCTTGGAATAATTTCACACGCTATGTTTTTCAAATCAACCGATTCTTCTCACATTTCAATTATGTTTAACCACGAGTTTTTACTATCGAAGTTACCTTAACAAACATAGTGTCATCTCACTTCTTGTCGGGATGAATACGAGAGATGACAATATGGAATGTTTCGGCAGTACACTAACTCATGATAGTTGCGCTAAAACTTGGCTTATATTTCCATAAATATAATCTAGACGCTTAACGTTACGTAACACTAACAAACAAATTGTAAAAATAACGATAATATTAAAAAGTAGAGCAAGAATAAAAAGTACTCGACACTTTATTTTTAACTCCTGATGCATTCATTCCCGTGCATATCGCAAACAAAGAACCTTCTGCCCTGAACAAAGGGGAGAGATTAACGGAATATTTGCAAATGACACCTTTATTGCTGCTCTTAATTCAACAGGCGTTGAAAGCTTTGTATTCACACGTCTGCAAGTTTTTTTATTGTTTCTGCGAAAACTAGAATGTTTACTAAAAAGCTTTACATTTCTAAGGATTATTTGAAAAAATCTATCATACATAGCATGGCGTATTTTTAATTAAGAGTCCGTAACCACTATTTCATGTTGCCCTTTACCAAAGGTGGGCAGCTGCAATATGTACGTAATTAAGTTAGTTTACCGATATTAGAAGAAGATAAAAACATTCTTAGCAGGTGATATTTCTTTTCATATTTATAGCTTTGCCGGACGCTTGTGCTTACGAATCAGTTTACATAATTATTAAAAACATTATAGTAACCGACTGTGTATTTCTATACTTGTAATTTACGACAACTTTACTAGAAAAAATGAAACAAAAATTTTGCGATCCCTTAGCTAATAAAGGAATGAGAGTGATTTTAGATGCCAAATCTACACTAATCTAACTCTAAATATGATTCCTTATTTAGAGAGAGTTAAGATATATTTTATTCATAGTAACATATACCAAGAGCATTTTATTTTGTTAAAACTGTAATTTTTTGGTTAAATCTCCCTTAGTTCTGTTGCATGTATTGTTTTAATAAGGTTAAAGAAATATAACTACGTATTTATCAGTCTTTTCAAACAGATAATTAATGTACAATGCCGGACTGGACATGGCTGCTGCTGGCGGCGCTGTTCGGAGCGCTGTCGGCGCTGGCCGTACCCATTGCGCTTCTCATCTACTTCGTCAGACCCTTCGAGAAGAAACCGACCATAGAGGAGCAATGCTCTATGCCAGTCACCTTGCCACCGGTAAGTTTCAGATTTCACTGAAAAGAGACGATAAAAAATTAACCTCTGACAAATAAAGGGTGCACTGCTCCAGTACCGAACGTCTTTCTTACCATTGTGCTTCGGTTTTTATTTCTAGCCTTACAAATTTATGGGTTCGTAAAAGCCTCGTAAAAGTTACTGTCTTTACGGTCCCTATCATTGTACGTAGAGATGTGTCGTACAACCAACAATTCGAGAACAAGTAAAGACTTTGCTGAGCAATTAATTTTATATTGCACTAGGGCACTTGTTAGTTAGAACAATAATTTACCAAAAGCTGACTTAGGGACAACTAGAAAACATGGCTTTGCAATCATTTGTAAACCAGATCCACACTAAAGTTATATTCCTTCTACTCTATCGTGTGTTCCATAAAAAAACATTACAAAAATTTAAAGTTGCCTCTTATCATGAAAGCACTTTTTTTCTAAATTACTTCACTTATATTTTTGTGTAAAACAATTCCTTTTTTAATTGGCCAATGTTGTCGGAATTCACGACAGCATTTATTTCTTGGCGGCGCGCCAATGAAAAGCAAAGGCGAAGCCTTCGCAAACATTTTGTTTATGGCCATTGCGCCCACCATTAAAGTGTACAAACGACCCTAAATAACAGCTTTTAATTATTCTCTCCGTAAATTCTTTACTGCTCGTAAACAGATATGGGTAATCAAGGTTTGACATCAAAATAACCCCATTTTATGATTCCAACCGCCAAATTTTAATGAACCCATCATTGAAATTAGATTGTTAACACCAGTATTACTTTGTCTATGTCCTGTTCAAATATAGTATAATAATACTAGCTGTCGCCTCCGACTCCGTCCGCGTGGACTAAAATAATACTTTATCATTGTGTTCTACCGAGATGTGTTCTACATCTATACCAAATTTTAGCGAGATCCATACAGCCGTTCTCGAAATACCTTCAAACAAACATACATCCATCCATCCAAACATTCACATTTATTATATTAGTCAGATATCAATATTAGATTTTAACCAAGCTGTAAGAAATTCTGACTCGTTCAAAAACAATTTTTTTATGTCTATCAAACACAAATGTCCTATCCTATATTTCCAAACATTTTGAAATGTCTAGTCGTTTTCAATTTAAATTATAACGGATGCGATGAAGCAACTACATACACGCCGAAGTAAGCCAAGTCTTACTATTACGGTTTTCTATGTGTCTGATTAACACACAGAAAACCGTAATCACCGCTTGAGTGACGCAAACGTAACGATATGATGATATATGAATTTAAGGAATTTTTGCTCTAAATAACATTGCTTTTGACGTAAGTTCTAATTAGTTACTTTACGGTATGTGTGGAAAAAAGGTATAACATTTCTAGAGTAATTTAACACAAGGTAAACAACATATTTACGAAATGGAATAGCATATATTATTTCATCGATGTAAATACAAGGTCAATTAACTAAGTTTTAATTAATAATAAGTTCATTGTAATATCTACGAAATTTAATCATAAATTTTTAATTATTAATTAATTCAATATTATTAAAAATGTCGTATTAATATAACGGTTGACATAAGAGCTTAAAGATCTATTTAAAACTGTGAATTTTGAAAAAAGCAATAAGAGGAAATTTACTTTTACTCCATACAAGCGAACATGAATGTTAAACAAGCATGTGCAATTCAACGGAGATATTTAAAAAACAACTTTAATATTTCTCTGTTCACACACTATTATACTACGGCTTGTTATATTAAATTTAGTAGTTCGTTGTGCTCGTCTACGTCTTAGAAAAATAAAACAAGCTATTTTACATTGACATTGACGTAAATCAACAGGAGATCCTGAACGAGCTGACCCGCGGCGCCGGCAGCACCCCCGAGGGCGTGCTGAACGCTATGCTGCAGTTCATCTTTCAGCAGAGCACAGCCGACACGCGCTGGCTGCGCCGCCGCATGGCCAGCGAGCTTGCCGAGCTGCTCGCCAAGACCTCCTCCGGCAAGATATTTGAGTCTCTCACGGTAAGCTACACGCTAAGTAGACCTTAACATGCAATAAAGCTTATCTATATTGTTTGGATACGCCTGAAGAAGTTGATAGAAATAAATACGGAGTTATATCTTACTACTTTTACAAGCCCAAAAACAGCGCGGCCCAAATCCCTATATCGTCAATATACTTAAGATAAATACGAGGGATTCAGCGACCTAAACTTGTCGGGTGGCTGTAAAGACTATCATTTGAATAATGACTATTAAAAACTACATTATTAAAATGGCCACAACACTTTTAGCGTTTATGTCTGACAAACAAAGTTTTACTTGTTCCAGCTCCGGTCATTAGAAGTGGGCACGGAGTTCCCGAGTATAGCGAACATGCAGTTGATTAGCGGTGAGCTGGAGGAGGATGGGGCACGGTTGCGCTCGCTCGATATCCGCTTCGACCTCGCCTACGACGGCAACTTCAGGATCGACGTTGACGCCGTAATGCTGCTTGGCAAGATTGCCAATATATCTATCACAGGTCATTAATTAAAGTATCAGTACATTTAAGACAAAAAAAAACTCCACATAATAGTTAGGACTTAGAAATGAAATACCACATTGTTTCTCTTAAACTGGTGATTTATAACTGGAGGCTGAAGCCATTATAATTTATTATTTATTAATTAATTTGGAATACAAAATTAACAAAACAATTTAAAAAGTATGATGATGTCATTTCCAGTGGAGAGCATAAGTGGCAGCGTGCGGCTTATGTTCCGACGAAATCCGTACACGCACTGGGCGCTTGCGTTCGAATCACAGCCCAAGCTGGAGCTGCGCGTGCGGGGCCGCTTCCAGGGTCGCCAGCTCAAGCCCCGACTGGCCTCCCTTGTCGCTGCGCACATCAGACGAGCGGTAGCTCAACGACATACGCTGCCTAATTATAAAATACGGTAAAGATTTTCTAAAGGTCCATGTAATATCTCATAGAAATATTATAATTAAAATTTTCAGAATTATTTTTAAGTGATTCATTTTAGTATCCTATTGGCGGAAATTTTATGGTCCAGTTGGAATTTTTTTCATTTCCTTACCGAGTCCTCTCACTTAAAAATGTTAACGCACAGTTTAGATTATTCCACTGCCGCGATCGAATCCAGCGTTAGATTACAACTGGAATCATATAAATCAACACTAGATTGCATTGTGTGGGTTTCATTGTGGCTGGATTACAACTGAAAATTACATGTTTTTAAATCGCTGCATTCGATCGCTGGTCTAGAATAATGTAAACTGGGAATTATAAATGTATTTCAACTTATTTCTACTTTTGCATTGGCAGGTATAAACCGTTCTTTCCGAAGTCTGAGCCGGGCAGCGGGGACGGAGAGGAGGGCCCGACCCCACAAGGGCGGCTCACGGTACGACTGGTAGAGGTGACGCGCCTACAGTGGCCCGGCGGCACAGGGCTCGTCAGGGCTGCGCTCGCTGTCGACTCACATGGATGGGTAGGCAATTATTATTCATTATCACCATTCCAGTTCGCACGTTGTTTAAATTTTTAATCTTGATCAGAATTGACTGATTGAATTTGTAACCGATCTGTGTATACGTGTAGGTGTCATTAAGGCGAGGCGTGTTGGTGCTAGACATAGTGGTGCCTGCGGTAACAGGCCCGCTGGGTCTGGTGTGCTGCCAGGGCGTGGGCGCAGTGCTCGTAGATACGGTAGTGCCGATGTCGCCCGCCTACCGTGCCGACCTACGTCGCGACGACGTCGTACTCGCCATTGACAACAAGCCCGTCAACAATGTCGCGCAGGTTAAATTGTTGAGACTTTATTATAGCGAAACACAACTTGTACCTAAAAGTAAAAGTACAAGTAACAAGTTGCACATAGTTCCTAATTACCACGTTAATTGACATCGAAGACGATGTTTCCCTTCTAGGTGGGTAAACTTCTACGCAGCGTGGAACGTCGGGCGGTGACAGTCCGGGTGCGACGAGGGGGCGCGGGAGGTGCAGGAACGACCGGCGCCCGACGGGAGGATGAGCCGCGTAGGCTCCGCACAAACTTCTCCTTCCGGCGGGTCTCAGAGGTGATGGAGGGAGTTCGACTGCAGAGCATGCGTGCGGCTACCTCCAGAAATAATTTGCTGGTAAAATTCTATTGTGAAATATGAAGTTTTATATAATTGGAGACACTTTTATGTAAAAACGAGACACTTTTAAAATTATTTTATTACTTACTAGGAAACTGATTCACCGGCCAAAGTATCAGATGCATCAAATGAAATAGACCAAAAACAAAAATCGGAGTCAGCGAAGCAGACTTCAAAGTCAACGGAGCAGACCGGTCCGGGGAACTTCGGGCTTAGGAAAAGAAGATGCTCCGTAGAGAATAAATCATCAGATAGTTCCGCTGGCAGCACGCCGCCCGCCTCCGGAGCCAGCACACCACTTAGACAAGCGACAGTCATCAACAAAATCGTCAAACATCCTGACATACCGATCATAAAAACTGACTCCTCCGAATGCAAGCCTGATAAAACCGAAACCCTGGAAGAAGAGGAACAAATATTCGAAACCGGCGGACCGCGACAGAGCGAGCACGTCGAAATCTGCCAAATGTTTTGGACGAAAAGCATCCAGCTCAAACCGATCATACCTTTCGATGAAGAGACTGATTTTAAACTGAATGAAAATCATAAATATCTCAACATTAACGTATGGGCGACTGTACCGGGCGAAAAGGATGAGTTGTTGTTGGGCTATTTGAATATACCTCTAGCAGCTTTACTATCGGAATGTCAAGACTCAACAGTACCCCATCACATGAAGAGATATCAGTTCCTACCGCCAGATGTCGATATTAAATTCAGGTAGGGTACGATGAAAAATATACATTTTTTAGAATACATTTTTTGAAATTAGAATTATAGATCTTATTATTGTCATCCGGACATTGAAGTAATAAGCGAGAGTAGATATTTCTAATTCGTATCCGTACATTATGAGGTCAAAGTACCATACTTCGGCCCATTCATTTATGCAAAAGTACCGTATTATTATAAGAATTTTAAAATATGTTCTTCCTCTTTGTACCCAGTAAGAGCCACAAGCTATCCTCGCACGCTGGCTTCGAGCCGTGCCTCTGCTTCGGCGACGCGCTGGTGTGGTGGGAATGGGAGGGGGCGGGCGGTGCGCGCAGCTCTCCTCGTCCCGCGCCCCGCGGCACCGCCCCGCGCCCGCAACATGCACCCGCTCGCGCCGCGCACGACTTTGTCCGCACGCACTTTCATAGATCGACACAATGCGACTTTTGTAATAAGAAGGTATATTATTTTCAAATCTACTGCGCATCGATTATGAAAATTGGAATCTCTTTTTCATATTATGGATATATTTTTGGAAACTGTAATTCGTAATCTCTGAATACAGTTTTGCTATACAGACTTTTTTTTTTACAGATATGGCTTAAAGATGCAATGCAATGTAGGAATTGTGGTCTGTGTTGCCATAAAAAATGCGTCACCAAGTGTCAAGAATCATCGCCTTGTATACCAAAACAAGAGCGCGGTAAGTTTGAAACTTCATTTAATAATATTATCGAAATAACCATACTTAACCTTTTTAATTACACTGTTATATTTATATAAGAAATAAGATGCATTAAATATTTATTTTTTTAAAACCAAAAACATTTCGACCTTAATTTATGCGCTTAAATTGCGACTGATTTGTCGTCAAAAATAAGTCAATGTGTTTTAAAATCTGACATGAAAGTAATTACTGCACATTGAGAGAAGTGTTTTTCTTTTTAAGCCTTTGTGAATTCAACTTTTATATTAAATGTCGTTAAAAAGTCCGTTTCGTTTCACTTTGTACAAATAAATTTAATGCGATAATTATTTCCTATTTCGAGTTTCCCTGAAGAGTTTTACAACGCGTTCGAAATAAAGTATTTTTTGTAAAAGTTTGTAGGTTCTTTTGTTTTCACTTTGTAATGGCAAAATGATTATTGTAATCGTTAAAATTAATTTTCAAACTTACGGTTCTGTTGCCGTAAATTACTAAGTAGTTAGAAAAATTTTGACGTTGATAAAGATTTAGCAAATAAACATGGACTTCCACGGTCAAAATTTAAATTTGTACTTGTTTTTTTCAGCAGTGGAAATTCACGATTATCACTTCGTACAATTATATAAACTGCTATAAATAATTATTTTTTTCGATATTCAACCGATTGTATTGAGAACAAAGTCACTAATTTAATGTACATTAAAATCACAACAATATTTTGTTGTTTACCTCAAAAGGGCGAATATTTGCATCCGTTCCAATTTTAAATCAATTTTTGATCTCTCGCCAAGTTTTCTTTGACTTGAGATGTGTTAACGACCATGTAGGTCATTGACTTTTAAGAACAATAAATATTTTTCCCAAAAAGCGATAAAATGTTCCCGCAAGCGTTTTTATATATGTAGCATATCTTGGCCTTTAACAAAATACAACTGAAAATGTTCAACTATTATAAATGAGAACCACTTCTATATTTCGCGTCCGATAACTTTTTGATCTTTATACATTTTAAATCTTATTGCAGTTAATAATATGAATCTATATTTTACAAAGTATTTAAATATTTTACGTTCGTTTATTTTCTTCCCCATATTATGATAAGAAAAAAAACCTTTATAACGAGGTGAGGTTAGGTTAGATTCAGACTCGACCATTGCGTGACAGTTTCTATTATAAGTAATGCGGAAGTTTTGAACAACGTTCCACTTCATGTTTCCACTGTGTCATGTTAGTGCAAGAAGACGTAACTGATGCAATAATTTTATGTTTACGTCATTCATTTATAGTCTGTTGCTAAAATCTCTCTGCAGTCTGCATCGATACAGGAAAAGTTATCAAATCAATCTTTACATTTGAAATAACAATTTACGATTACTTCTTTATTAAAGGTTGCCTATTTAAAATACGTGGAAAGCATTACCATGGCAACCGATGCAGTTAACTCGAGTAATAAATAGTTACTTAACAGTAATGAAGTAATTATATAGTTTTAGACAGTATTAGTTAGAATCATTTGGCGCGAATGATGCGCTTTCGTCACAAAGTCTAGTGTCAGAATGAATAGTGAGGGGACACAAACGTCGACATTTTAGTACGGCTAGTGTTGGGTCAATACACTGTCTCATTTTCGGATTTTCTTCCTAACAATAGTTACGGTAAAATCCGTGTAGATATGATGCGATCCGTATATCCTTTCATATCGTAAAAGTTTGTACCGTAAAAGCAATAAATGTACTAAACAAGTTATCCGGGCTTATATTTCCGGAGATATCGTGATGATTCAGCAAGATGCAAACTCTCTAAATGAATTAAACTCTACAAGGAAAAATAACATACCTCTTAGGTAAATTCTTGTGACGTCAGCGATACCTTAAAGAATTTTAGTGCCTTTAATGACGTCTAAAATAATATGTGCCAAACCAAAATTATAGCTCTAATAGTCGACTATCTATGGAAAATAATACGCATTTCACCTAAGTATTAATTATCAACAATGATCAAGAAAACGATACTGTAATTTTATTTTGATATTTATGTAGTCATATTAAATATAGAATGGAAATGATTCAGATGTTAATAAGTATTCACATTGTAAATATGAAATGGATTGCGTCTTACATTTCTCGTTAAAATAACAGATTTAAAAGAAAGTGCAACTCTGTAATTCTAAACAATCTTGCGCAACAGTTAATATCATTTGTTTTCATTACGGTTAATACATTTGATAATATATTACGTATAAATTAGTGCTATTAAATAATTCATTTCAGATCCCTCAACCAGTAGCTGCTCACCCCCGGAGCTGATCATGACAGAACCTGACGCCATGCCGGATCCCGATACTGACGAGGAAGAAAAGCCTGATAGAAAAGACTCTCTAGATGTTCATGAGGAAGGTTATAATGATTTCATATCAGTTTAAGTATATGCTAGTTTTGTTTATATTGCTCGAGTCCAGATGCTATTTCATCATTCATCAGAATTATTTATGGCAAAAGTTCAAGGACAAAAATGTCATTTGGACAAGACCAAAAAACCTTACAACTGGTAAGAGTAGTGTGAAATTTGCTTAATTGATTCAAAAAATATATCGGAATAGATACAACGATTGCTTTGTAAAATAGCAAATTTATTTCTGTTACACAGACGAACTATTCAATTGCTGACGAAAGAGATGTTTTACGCATTATTTACTGCGGACTCATCAGACACAGTTCACAGACAAACACAGGTTTTTTTACACTTGATGTTTTTATCCCCCTTCTGTGGAATAACGCTGATTCTTGTGAATGAATACCGCTTTGTTACCGTTAAGTGTTTCCCTTGTAGTCATCGTCGTTGATGTGTGAATGAAATGTTTTGTTTATATTTCCCTAGCTATTACTCGCGACTATGTCCTCACGGAATTAAAAAAAAAGTAGCCTAAGACACCCAAAGATAGTATGGTTTCCCAACAGTGAAAGAATTTTTCAAATAGGTTTAGTAGTTTCGGAGCAAATACAATGCAAACAAATTAACAGTCAAATCAATATATTATTAGTATAGATAAGAATAAATATTACATCAAGTATGACACAAATATGTGGGTAACGATAGTCTAATTAATAATTTTCATTTTTTTAAACTAACAATTGTATTCTATTTAAAAAGTTATTAAAGCAACATTATTACCAGCGCACCTTGAATTTAGACAGATGAAGCGACAAATCTACAAGAGCCTGTGTAATCGTATTATAGCACAAAGACATTTAAAAAAAATAACAACATAAAATTTCTTTGTTATAGCAACAAATATTCTGCTCCACAATGGCTTTGTCAAGATTAAATCTTGGCAAGATTTTTTGCCACCATATTTGTTGTTTGTTAACAAAAAACTTCTATCAAATTTTGTTTTATTGTTTTCTTTTCTATAAGAAACTACAAGAAAAGAAAATATGCTTTTCTATAAGGGTTTTGCCAGCGAAAACCCTCGTTTGCAGTTACCATGTTGTAGATAGATTAAATAACAGCCAGTCTGTATTTATTTGGTAATATTTTTTAAAATGTTAATAGCATTTTATAGTACGTTACCAAATGTAAACTAAAAATTCCACAAAAAGTGTACAAATTATGTCGAAACTGCACATCTATTTTTTAATTAGTAAGTACTTAACATATATATTTGTTAATAAACGCATTGAAATAAATGGTCCGGTTGGCATATTCTTCAAGGATAATGGTTCTAATTGAGAAATTGAGTGCAACATCTCTCGTTATTATCTAAAAATCTTCAATCTCATCATCAAAACGTTCATCAACACTTGATATTTCGTTATATGAGACTACCGTAGACACATACATACATATGTAAATCTAGATTTACGAAAGTAATATAAAGAAACGTTGGATTATATATCTTAATTATTCGTGTTATGGACTATTTTACAACATGACAAAGATTTATCAGAGCATGACCAGTATATGTCATCGAATAATACGGGAAAGTGGATGAATCAAACTTAAAATATGAACGTTAACTTTGTACAAAAACGAACCAGTTTCTATAAGGAAAAAGATGTTGTCTGTTGGCCCTCGAGCTAAATCTTATTGATTGAGACTTTCCTTGTTGAATGTTTGTTTACATGTGTGTGTTTCTATGTATGAATCATTTACCGTGTTTGTTCATCTCCTTACGAAACAATAATTAAACCTAATTAAACTTATACTATAATCCCCCAAAATATTTTGCACTTTAAAAGCTTGAGTTTTATAAAACCAGATCAAATGTAATAAGACACTTGAAATGTCTTCTTCCCACTTCCGTTTCAAATCTGACCTTGATATTTATAGTCAAAGTTTCGACACCTTTCTTCCATAACACAAATAGTACCAAAGCCATCTAACATAACCAGGTGGTGGTGCGATGAGCGCGCTGGTGGCAGGCCTAAGACGCGCCGGGTCAGCACACTCGCTCTCCGCGCCAAGAACCAACGCCTCCTCGCGCTCCTTGCCGCCCTCACCCAGTCACACACCCAGGTGGATATAATATCTAGATTACCTTGCTCTTTCTTGCATTTAGTAGAAACTAGTTCCCTTCAACCTGAGATTTAAAGACGTTTGTTACTCTCACACCTTCACTCTCCTGTCCTGTATGTAGCACCTGTTCACGTCTGTAAACGGCAACGGTTGGCATTTTTCACGATCAGCCCTTGTACCGCAAAGGAGGCAGTCGCTGGAGGGGGGCCCGTTCGGAGCGTGCGCGGCGGCGTGGGCAGCGCGGGAGGCGGGCGCAGCGGGCGCGGCTGCGGCGGTACGCGCGATGCTGCGCCCGGCGCTGCGCAGCGCGCTGCCGCCCGACGCGCTGCTGGCGGCCGCCAGGGACTGCGCGCCTGACCTTGCCGATAAACTCACCGCCACACAGATACATGAATTGGTAACTACAACTAGAACTATGGCTTGAGTAATCTAATGATCTAATTTAGTTCATGGTAGTTGTTCAGTTTTATTAACTAATTGTTACCTAAATCTGGTTCATATACAGCTGCAGGCGGTGCGTGAGGAGTTATCGGCTGAGGACGCGGGTG